CTTTTCTTTAAAGTTTTTAGAGTAAAAAAGAATCCTAATTTTGTGAATAAATTATACTGTAGATAGGTACGTCTATATTTGGAAATACAGTTTATTTTTCTGAAAACTGCCCTAAAATAACCGAACTCTCAAAATATCCCTAAATATGTGCATAAAAAAATTAAAACATTTAAATCGTTTGGAATTCTTTGAAAACTATAACCATAAATCATCATGACATATAGATAAATGAACTTGGATACAAGTTCGTTTGTAAAGTAGTATTATACAGGGTGTTTATAAGGAGTGGGGCGAATATTAGGCATCAAAATAATTCATGACAGTTATATATAAAACGACCCTTTTTTACCAATTAAAATATCAACAATCTTATCTTGTCAATCAACCCACAACAGGTAATAAGGCAAAATGCTCACTTAACATAAAACTTACACTTTTCTTTAAAGTTTTTAGAGTAAAAAAGAATCCTAATTTTGTGAATAAATTATACTGTAGATAGGTACGTCTATATTTGGAAATACAGTTTATTTTTCTGAAAACTGCCCTAAAATAACCGAACTCTCAAAATATCCCTAAATATGTGCATAAAAAAATTAAAACATTTAAATCGTTTGGAATTCTTTGAAAACTATAACCATAAATCATCATGACATATAGATAAATGAACTTGGATACAAGTTCGTTTGTAAAGTAGTATTATACAGGGTGTTTATAAGGAGTGGGGCGAATATTAGGCATCAAAATAATTCATGACAGTTATATATAAAACGACCCTTTTTTACCAATTAAAATATCAACAATCTTATCTTGTCAATCAACCCACAACAGGTAATAAGGCAAAATGCTCACTTAACATAAAACTTACACTTTTCTTTAAAGTTTTTAGAGTAAAAAAGAATCCTAATTTTGTGAATAANAATTAAAATAGACGGTGTGTTATTTTTTTATTGAGATATTACGTAAACCTGATTATTAAAAACGCAATTCGACACCCGTTTCCGATTCAAAACAGGCCGCTTATTTGTGAAAACTGATAAAAATCTTATTAAACATTAAAAATAACAATATTGCACTATTATTTTCGCAATACTTAAGTAAGTATTGCAATTACTCGTAAAATTTAACGACTTCTCGGCGGCGAGGAAAAGCAGAAAATTTCGCAGTAATAAGTTATTTAATTAGGTATTCTACGATGATTTTTATAAAACGAACATTACATAGCTACCTGCCTATATATATATGGTAGGTACCTATAATATTTAAAAATGGGCGACCGAAGTGGAAATTCAAAAATTAAGACCTACATTCGAGGTCGTGAATAACGAATTTAAATATTTTACGTTATGGCTTTCAAAAACTATCTACCTGGTATTGATAGCAATGAATATATATGTATATCTACCTTTTATATGCATCTATTGGGATAGCAGGTAAAATACAAAAAGCATTTACAAATTTTATACATAAATCAGCTAGAGGAAGTACCTATACTACCTCTATGTACGGTTGAGCACAGTTCAAATAAGAGAAATGGCGGTAGCCCGTGTTAAAAATGGCGACAAAGATTGATCTTGATCGGGTCCAGTTGATTTTACAAATTACTTTTGACTTGTCTCAAAAATCAACTAGTTTTTTAAGGATCGACGATCAACTGACTTGGTTTGATGTCAAAAGCCACTATTATGTATAAGTACTTAATACATACAGTGGGACAATCAAAATTGGCAAAGTCTACAATAAATTACTTGTAAGAATGGAGAAACTTGTTTCCACTTGGGATTATAGTCATTTGCAGCGTTTTGAACACACCCTTGTTACGTTAGGAAATGCTTCATGAGTAGTACAAACAAAGTAAAAAGAGATAACCGAATAATAGTAAGCGGTGAGGGGTTAGGGGTTGCTTAGGTAGACAAAAGATTAGGGTCGGCTTTACAACTGCCTGGTTGGAATTATATCTTTAAACAAGCGTCTTTGCCTTTCTAAACTCCTAAGAATGCTGAACTTCTTTTAAAGTCCGATGCTGGCTCAAATTCAGTTTGTCTGCATCTCTTTCTGTTACTCATTAACTGGTGTAACGTTATTCTTTTTTCTTTATTAGTGTCCGCTGCAATTCCTGCCTGGCATCTCTTTTCTATGTTTACATATATGACACACCTTACAACGTATGTCGTGAGTGCTTTTACATCACTTGCATACCAACATTTTTATGATGATTTATAATAAAGTCCGATGCTCATAAACATGTCTGTTTGCATCTCTTTCTGTTGCACATCAATTGGTGTAACGTTATTCCTTTTTCTTTATTTGTGTCCGCTGCAATTCCTACCTGGCATCTCTCTTCTATGTTTACGATATTCCCTACACCGTCTGTCGTGAATTAAAGTAGGCGTTCTGTCAGTAATCGTCCATGTCTAGTTAGTAAATTGAAAGAAGATGCCACAGTTTTATTGCAAACTATGCCAATTTTGAACATCCCAACTATATACATATTGCCTACCTATTGAGCATATAACAAAATCCTTAAACATTTCCTAAAGAAATATAATGCAATTTAAAAACCTCTTAAAATAGATAATAGAAAGTTTCATCTAAAAGAAAATTCTTCCAGTAATATGAATAAAAATAATACAGATAGAAACTAAGACAATACTATTATTGCAAATGGATAAATAAATAAAATAAAAGCCTTACTATCTGGTTACCATAGAACTTGTTTACTGTCGACACGTGTTTAGCTCACTTTTAACATACATGTGACATTATCAACACGAGACTGGTCCACACGTGTCTTTATTAAACAATTTTGTGAGTCTGTTTTTCAAAAAGTAGTTAAGTTTATAATGGTGTTACCACAAAGGTAGATTTACACCAATTATAATTACGGCAATTTCGACTACCTGAGTCGGCCAGGTGCCAATTGACCTTTTTTAGTGTGATTATCGGACAATAATTAGACAATTCTCATACCTACCCATCCAGGTAATATCTATCAGAAATACCAAATTTCGAAATTACGCATTTCTTTGTTGGTAACATCTCTTATTTTTATGAGCGAAAATACACAATTTGGTAAACGTGTAAAATATGCTTTCTTTAACCACGTCTATCAAAACATCACCTGGTGCTTCTCCAAAAACTGTTTTGTAAATCGTAATTTAATTTAGATCTATATCTGCTCCTCCTAATCTAATCTAGGTCTACCTCCACTCGTCTTTGCCCCTTTTTCTGCTTCTAATAAGTCTCTAACTAACCTTTCATGCCTGAGAAGATGTCTTACCAACCTATCGCGCCTAATTCCTCATCGACTTCCATTAGCGCCTCCTGTTTTCCTTACCATCATAAGATCATCAGTCCTAAGACACGCACATCCACTGTTTCTTAATATCCTCAACTAATCCTCGCATTTCCCTAAAACTAGAACATGAACAGTAATCTGTTGTAGATCTACATCTACTCCTGTTAGCTCCTGTTTTTGGTTCCAATATGCCTTTGGTAAAGGTCTAGATGATGGCCCCCATCACCTTCGGGGGTGGGTATGGGGGGATCGAAAGAGGAGGTCTCCCCCACCACTGTACCATAAAAAGTTCGCGGCGGTCTCACCCCCATAAAAAGTTATGGGGGTTCAAAGTTAATAAATATGCCAATTTTTATACATTTCTAGGCATGTAAATATTTATATAGTCATTCTTAAACAATATTCAAAGGTAAAACTAATGGAAAAATACATAAAAATATTGAGAAA